AGAATATTTACAAATATAAAGATAAATTCCAAAAGAGAAAGTTAAGTAATTGTACTGGGCACGAGTAAGTGTATAGCCTGGGACTACACTTTTTTCTTTATAAGCCTCATAGTACTATTTGAACTTTTAAACTATGTATTTATTGTTTTGATAAAAATAAAAATTAATTTTAGATAGACTGTAATTATCACTAATCTCCACTACTATAATGTTGATGGGAAACTTCCTAATGTACCTTCTTTGTTGTGTCATAATACCTACTAATAATCTTTTCATTACTTCTAAGACAGAGATCCCAAGTGTCTTAGCTTGATACTTGTATCAGTTAGCTATTTCTGCATAACAAACCATCCCAAAAGTTACAGCTTAAAACAATAAGCATCGATTCTTACTCACAAGTCTATAAGTCAGCTGAATGCTTCTTGTTAGCTCATTAGGACCAACTCATGCATCTGATATTTGTTGTGGGTCAGATAAGCAGCTCTGCCAATATATGCAGGGTTCTCTCACATGTTTGAAAATTATGGTTCTTGGCTGGTCTAGGGTGAAATTGGCTGGAACAATTGGGATGTTTACCACATGGTCTCTCATCCCCCAGCAAGTTAGCTGGGCTTCCTCACATTGCAGCTATCTTGTTCCAAGATAGTGAAAAAGAGTCCCAGCTGGGTGGGGAACCTGCAACCTTGGGGCCACATGTGGCCTTCTGGATCCTTGAGTGCAGACTTTTGACTAAATCCAAATTTTTCTGTGAAGTTTGAATTCAGTCAAGTGGCCGCATTTGGGGATCTGGAGGACCACGCGTGGCCTTGAGGCCTCAGGTTCCCTACCCCTGGTAGGATCAAGATTGGCACATCATTACTTTTGCCTCATTCTGTAAGTCAGTGCAATTACTAGGTCAGCCCAGATTCAAGGAGTAAGGGAATGGATTCCATCTCTTCATGAGAGGAGCTGCAGTCACATTATAAAGGGTGTGGATGTGGGAAGGCGCAGAGGATCGTGACCATTTTTGCACTCAGTCTCCTTCAACACTCAAGGTCCCACTTTCCTTCCTACATGGGCTTTCCCAAGTCCATACACATATATGCCTCTATGTCCTTACCTTACCTAAAAGGCTTTTTCATGCTTTCTATGTGACATTTAAAACTCTTCCCATCCATTCAGATTACAAATCAAGTCCCTTTCCCCCTTTTAAGCCTTCCCTGGCCTTTCTAAGCCCTTCATGATCTCCTATATTGTCAGTATCATTCACTTGCTATTTGAAAATTTAACTCTACCACGGAAATATCTTAACCTTGAACTAGGTCATACCGTCCCGATGACAGGAATTGTATCTTATGACGTTTTAGAAATACTACCTTCTGCCTAGAAGACTGTCCATAAAGATTGAATGAATGAATAAATGAATTAATAGACAATAAGACTGCCTCCTCTTACTTGGGACAGACTACTGTCTGTATAAAGCTTGATGGGAAGAGAATTAGATAAGCCTCTTAATCTGTAAAATTATGACTCAGGGTATGTAAATTGAGAAATTTCCTGGAATCCAAAAAATAAATAACTATATAAAAGAAATAAAGAGAGAAAGCTACTCCCTATTTTAGCCTCATAAAAGTACAAACCACTACATACGAGGTAACTGAATTTCCTTCTGAACTAAAGTTATGGATGCTGCTCAGTTCTCTTCTCCTGAGTGTCCAGCCTATGTCTATATTGGAAAATGCCCTTGCCCTGCCTGGGCTCACCTCTGTTTGGGCTGTGTTGAAAGGTTGGGGGTGGGAGTTGACTGGAAGGTACAGTGAGAGGCTCTGCTTCTCCCCAGCATTAGGGCAGGGATATCAAGAGGTTTTCCTGCCTTTCTGATACTCCCTTCGTGCTGCATGAGTATCTTGGCCTAAGGCACATTGGACAGTCTCACAAAACCAGACATTAGGCATCCAGCATTGTTTTTATTGATTATTATGAGGAGTTGAGTGCCAATCTTCAGAGAAATTGGCCCTCCTCCCCCGCTCTGGCTTCTCTTCAGGACAGAGAGAACCTATTACCATGTCTACCAAACTATTCTGCCAATCTGCTGTTGAAACCTCCACTCTTAGCCCATCTGCATTTGATCTGCAATATATTTTGTTGCTCATTTTCTGGTAAAATGTTTTAAATCTTAGATATTTGTTGTTTAGGTTCTGTTTTGTGAGTTTCATTAATTCATCCTGTAAAGGTACCATCTTTTCTATCATGAAAAATTTGTTCCTGGATTGTGATAGCACCACAAAAGCTTCTAACAATCTTTCTTTTCCAGTTTAAATGCAGGTGGTCAGCTGCTGAATGTTTGCTAAAGATTCTTATGACTGGTAACAAGACCATCCAAATCAACCACACTCTGTAAAATTAGTATTCTCCACAGCCCTGGTCAGTCTGGAGAGTTGGCACCATT